CTTTCTTACTGCTAAACTGTAGGAGTACTTTACAAAATGCGATTGAGATACTAGACCATTAGCAGATATATGACTTGCAAATATTTTCTCCTTTTCTGTGGGTTGTCTTCTAACTCTCTTGATAGTGTTCTTTGAAACATGAAAATTTTAATTTTGATGAAGTTCAATGTATCTGTTTTTTTTTCTTTTGGTTGCTTTTGCTTTAGGTTCTGTATCTAAGAAACCGTTGCCTAATCCAAGGTCACGAAAATTTATACTTATGTTTCTTCTAACAGTTTTACAGTTTTAGCTCTTATATTTAGGTCTTTGACTCACTTTGAGTTAACTTCTGTATTTGATGTGAGGTATAGTCTAAATTTACTTCTTTGCATGTGGATATTCAGTTTTCCTAGCACTATTTGTTGAAAAGACTACTCTTTCCCTCATTGAATTGCCTTGGCATCTTTGCCAATTGACCATAGGTAAGTGTATTTCTGGAATCTCAATTCTACTTCATTGATCTTTATGTCTATTCTTATACCGGTATGACCCAGCCTTTTTTTTTTTCTTGCCCTGTCTTACAGTGCTGAATGATCTAGTCTTGATGACTGTAGCTTTGTAGTAAGTTTTGAAATCAGGAGGTGTGAATCTTCCAACTTTGCTTCTATTTTTAAGATTGTTTTGCCTCTTCTGGGTCCCTTTCATTTCTATATAAATTTTAAGATCAGATGGTTAATTTCTGCAAAAAAGACCACTGAAAATTTGATAAGGATTGTAATGAACTTGTGGATCAGTTTGGGGAGCACTGCTGTCTTAACAATATAAGTCTTCCAATCCATGAACATTTGGCGTGCACCAACTTGAACTCTAATTATTATCTAACAAAAAAAGCTAGTTTAGATATCCAAAATTGATGAGACACACCAAGTTAATTGCCAAATGTTTATTTCATTTTTGAACTATATGGATAAGGTATAATTTTATTTTGTCAAAGTAGGGGAAGAGAACAAATGGAAAGACATATAAATTCGTAGAGCCTATCAGTAATCAGAGAAAGATCTCAATAGGAAAAAAGTTACACTTTGTATTATATACTTCTCAAAGATATGTTCCCATTTAAGAAATCTTGCCAGGAACGGTGGCTCACACCTGTAATCCCAGCACTTTGGGAGGCAGAGGTGGGTGGATTGCATGAGTTCAGGCATTCAAGACCAGCCTGGGCAACAAGAAGAAACCCTGTCTCTATAGAAAATACAAACATTAGCCAATCGTGGTGGTGCATGACTGTGGTCCCAGCTACTTGGGAGACTGAGGTGGGAGGATTGCTTGAGCCCAGGAGGTTGAGGCTGTAGTGAGCTGAGATCGTGCCACTGCACTCTAGCCTGGGTGACAGAGTGAGACCCTGTCTCAAAGAAAAGAAAGAAAGAGAAAGAGAAAGAAAGAAAGAGAGAGAGAGAGAGAGAGAGAGAGAGAGGGAGAGAGGGAAGAAAGGGAGAAATCTTAATATAACACGTAATAATCTAAGCATCTCTTAATTTGTTTTATGGAACGAAAAAATTATAGGGTTTTTTTTTCTTACATAGAGTCTCTTAAAATTTTTTGAATAGCAGAGATAACCTTATTACATGTATAAATCCACTGCTTCTTGACTTAAGAAAACTGAAATCCTCCACTCACCCCACAAATTCTGGTATTGTTACAACAGGGTCAGCAAACCCAGGGACAAACTGTGCTAATTGCTTCTGTGTTTTGTTTTATTGACAAACTTCAATTCTGGCTTCTCTTCCTTAAATGTCAAGCAGTTTGATATTGCATTGTAACAATAACGTTACCATAGAGTGTTTAAGTAAATAACATATAAATAACACTTGTTGCTAGTGGTGACATTAATAATTACAGGAATAGAATGAGAGCAGATTGTTGTGTAGTAATGACCCCTAGAATAGACTGAGTTCCTTGGCAGTGTTAAGAATTTGTCATGTTAGTGGTCACGGTGTTGCAATCCATTATCTCACTGAGAATTGATGACTTCAGCTATGGTTACTAGCCCTAATATTCAATGCAGTTGCCTTGAGCGACTTGAATGCTTAAAAAAATGGTCTAAGGCATTATGTCAAGAGTTACCCAAGGAAACTGAGGATCTTCGTGTATATATTTTAGGGAATCAAGTACATTTTATTTTCTTGTATAGTTCCTCTGGTTCCTTTCTATAAATAATAGTGACGTTTGCACACTGGAAATGAATATTTGTCTATTTGTCAGTCTATCTATCCACCTATTTACCTATCCATCTATGTCTTACCATGTTCAACAAAGTCTCTTTCCTTCAACCCTCTCCTCCCTTTCCCTCCTCTCCCCTCCCCCTCCCTCCTTCCTTCCCTTCCTTCTTCCCTCCCTTCCTTTCTTCTATTAAATCTTTTATTTATTAATTCCATAATGTTTACTAACTAGCTACTAAGTTCCAGGCACTGTTCCTAGGCACTAGGAACAAGCAATAAACAAAGAGGCCAGGTCCCTGCTGTCTTAGAACTTAGCTTCTGGTGAGGAAACAAAGAAAATAAGCAGCTTGTTTTAGATAGTGTTAAGTGCTCTAAGACAACAAAGCAGGGTGATGTGATAGACTGTGGTGTGGGGCTATTTTAGGTAGGAAGATCAAGGAAGGCTTCTCCTAGGAGGTGGCAAGTGAGCTGAGATCTGAATGATGAGAAGGAACCAGGCTTGAGGAGCTACAGAGGTGGAACCTTACAGAAAGAGGAAACAGCTAGTACAAATATTTGAAGCAGTTTAAAATAATAGTCAATACAACAAAAACATACAAAAAGATAAAAGTAGGAATGAGGGGAAATGAAAGAGAACAGGAGAAAATTGTGATGCAGATATGCAAACTGTAGTTTGACAAAGTTATTAAAATTGAGTTGCAAATTTGGGTGCTGTCTTCCTAGAAGTCAAGGTGAAAGGGAAATGTGATCAATCTCATGGTCTGCTTTCTTTATAAAGAAAAGTCATGTCAGTGTCTCTAGGGAAAGTCTTGTTTTCTGGCACTCAGGATTGAAATACATTTCTTGCATTGACCCTCTTAAACAGGCCGTATAGGTGATTACATTAGTGTGGTAGGCCCCTCCTCCCAACTCCAAAGACTTGGAAATACTATGTGGAATTCAAAGGCAGGAATACAATTCATTTCAGAAAATACCATGACTAGGAATAGAAAGCCGTCAGAACTCTTTTGGTCTCTTCTCTCTGTATATCTTTTTCAACCTTCCTGCTCATTTCTCATTTTCCCCGCAGCCTAGTTTTCTGCATTTCTTTTGGCCACATGGCGGGAAAGTATGTCTGTTGACAGCCTCTGATTTTCTATTTTAAAGATGTTTCTATGTTTCCACATTAGCTTCCTAGAGAAAGACTGAAATCTCTCCATCCTAATTCCAAATTCCTGGGAGAGAGGGATATGATTGCCTTATCTTGAGTCAGGTGCCTACTATTGGAGCAATCAACTGTAGCCAGGTGGCCTGGTTACCTTGTCTGAGGATCCAGGGCTAGTTTCCAGAAAAAGACATCTGGTTATACTGCTGTTTTTAAAATGCAACTTGCATTGAAGGTCAAGAAACCATCAGTGGGTAGACACTAGTCTTCAAAAGAGATTAAAAGTATCAGGGTGCATAGCATGTGATGCAGGTAATGTTGTATAAAACTTGTTTCAGTTATTAAATATATGAGTACATGTGTATTGAGTGATAATGTAAAACATTTATTTTGATGGATTGTGCTCAAAAAAGTTTGAAAAGCTCTGGACTAGACAAGCTGGTAGGATTCTGCTATAGAGATGTAATAAACAACATTCTTCAAGTAATCCCTCTAGTAAATGTAGAGGTATCATGAATATTTTTTAAACAGCATCTCTTAATATAAGCAAATGGCATAGTGCTAAACATGACTTGGTGCAGGCAATGTTGCAATGGTGAAGACGAAGTGGTACAAACATACAGTTTTTTGATGGTCTGGTTTAATCCAGGGCAAAACATAGTCCAGTGGTTGTTTTTGCTTTTAGAGTCAGGGCTGGCTATCACCCAGGCTGGAACCTGTGAATATGTTACCTTATATACAAAGGGCACTTTACAGATGTGATTAATGCCTTTAAGATGGGGGAGGCTATCCTAGGAGATCTTTTTTTAATCTCCTAGAGGCTAGTACCTAGTAGTACCTCATTATATGGTAGGTTTCTTGCAGCCCTTTGGTGGCCAGGTAGTTTTTAATTTTGTAGAGACGGGGGTCTCCCAGTGTTACCCAGGCTGGTCTTGAAGTTCTGGGTTCTAGCAATCCTCCTGCCTTGGCCTCCCAAAGTGCTGAGATTATCGGTGTGATCCACTGTGCCCGGCCTAGTCCAGTGGTTTGAAGTTTGAAGTTACCAGTCACCCATTATGACCATTTTGAGTTTTTTGATGAAAAGGACTGGATGAACTAGTTGCCAAATGTACCCTCCCCGCAAGCAATACAATGAATCCACCTGCCGTGGTATCAAGTTACTTGCTACCAATCAGTCTAGTTTTAGAAAACATCTGCCTCAAATAACTAGGCTAGTATTAGGAGAGTTGAATTTCTTCCCCACAGCTGCTAGAGAGTAGGACCCAGGACCACAGAAGCCATTCCTAGTTCAGGCCAATAAATGTATTAGCATACAGCTGGACCCTCTGTTGCATGGGGCAGGCATTCAGATGGTTCTTATAGGTTTGTAGCTAAAACATATCCCTGAGAATTGTCATTTGATCTGTCAGGAGTCTTCTCAGCCCCTGCGTGGGGACAAACACCCTCCCCCCAGCATTTTCCCGTCTTTTTAGGCCAGCTCCCCACCCACTGCAGTTCAAGGCTTGCAGCCCTAGCTCCAACGGGCTGGGGGTTGAGGGCTTGACCCCGAGCGAGAAGAGTGGCCTGAGCATCAATCACCTCAGTACTGTGATATTCCTACTACAAAGCTTTATTTTACGTAACATATGGCTGCTCCTCTGTGCCCCAGACGGGATATTAGGTCCGTTTCTAAGGGGAGCTGCCCTTGGGCGCGCCTGACGCTGCACTCGGGGCACGTGGGCGCCGTTGTGCAGCCGGCACCTCTGGGCCAGCCCCGCGGCTTGGAGAAGGGGCTTTGCACCCGCCGCCGCTCTTTGTCCCCGCGCGGCCCCCGTCCACCGGCCTGCGGCTGTTCTGCGGGCCGAAAAGTTTCTCCCGGTGCAGAATTCTGGGCTCAGCGACAGCCTGCGCCAAGTGTGCGCACCTGTAGGAGACCCGCTCGTCCGCCGGCCGCGGTGAGTGGTCCCTGGAGTCACAGCTCAGGGCGGGCCCGCGGGATGGGGCGGGTGGCCCGGGGCGCAGCCGGCCCAGGCCGTTGCTATGGCAACGTAGTGGGCAAACGGGCCTCTGGGTCTCTCGCTGCCGGTCGGCTGGCGACCCCCCAGCGGAGGGACCGGGCTGAACCCGCGGACCCCTCCGAGTGTCTCCCGGGACCCAGCCGTTGGGACCCCATTTCCCCCGGGTCCGATATTTGGGGTGGTCTCTCTCTGCCCCGGTTCATCTCCACCGTCTCACCTCCACCCCATCTTGGGACGTGAAACTTTTTGAAAGTATAAAGCGAACTTACTGTAGGGTAAGTGGGTGCGAAACATCCTTAGAACTTCTGAAGTTGTGTTTCTTTCTTTTTTTAAATCTCCTAGAGCCTGGTACCTAGTAGGACCTCATTATATGGTAGGTTTCTTGTTGCCCTTAAGATAGTCTCTTACACCTAGAGGATGCACATAGGAGGTGATAGGATGACATAAAGCAGCTCCGTACTGGCTGTGTGGCAGGTAATTTAAGCACTCTCCCTCAGCTTCCTAAATGTAGACTATAATTTCTCATAAGGTCGTGGGTTTCAGTGAACCTATATGTGAAGCTCTTTTGTGAACCGTACATGTAAAAAGCACTTGAGCATTAGTTGTAAGGGATATTTGCATGCTAAAAGTGGTCTGGTGCTCCCCGTCCCATATCACCAGCTAAGGAGGACCTTCTTTTTTGACCACCAAATGACTCCAGTATCCAACCGGAAAATAGGATGGTCCTGCCTTGGAAGAGGGCTTTGTGAATGGAAAGGAACATCAGCAAGTTTTGAACCTAAACTCTTGCCTTGTTCTCCAGGCCCATGCCTTTAGACTGTGATGGATATGCAGATATATCGCACATTTAAATTTTTAGCTCGTGTAAATCTCAGTTGCACTCTCAATGAGTCATACCAACCTCTATCTAGTTTGCAAATCAGAAATCTTGGCCTCATCCTTGATACCTCGTACTTTCTTCCTTTCCATATCTAAACAATCGTCAAGTTCTATTCATTTTATCTATCTTCAAACCAAATCTCAAATCTATCTGAGTATCTGTGTCTCTGCTACTATCACCCTAGACCAGTCTACCATTATCTGTTGTCCAGTAGTAGCCTCTTAACTAATCTAAAGGTATTTACCCTTTCCTTTCAATATTCCCATCCATTCTTTGCCCTGCAGCAGCAGTAGTGTTTTAACAACTAAAGTTTGATTATGCTACCTCCCCCCCTCCTGTAGCTCAAAATCCATCATGGCTTCTGGTTATTCTTAGGATGAAGGCAAAACTCTTAATGTGGCCTAGAAGTTGGGTGACCATGTACATGACCATCCAGAACAAGATATTTTTGAGAGTAATAGAAAGTACCAGCCTGACCAACATGGTGAAACCCTGTCTCTACTAAAAAATACAAAAATTAGCTGGGTATAGTGGTGCATGCCTGTAATCCCAGCTTCCCAGGAGGCTGACGCAGGTCTGAGAATCGCTTGAACCCAGGAGGCAGAGGTTGCAGTGAGCCGAGATCATGCCACTGCACTCCAGCCTGGGCAACAGAGTGAGACTTTGTCTCAAAAAAAAAAAAAAAAAGTTATTATTTATACTGGGACAAAAGGTCTAACCTGAGTCTCTGTCAGGCAAACCAAGGCAAATGGTTATTCTACATTGGCTTCTTTTCAGACTTTTGTGCCATTTTCCCTCCTACACAGGGCTGTTGCATATGATAGTCTCCCTGCCAGATGTGCTCTTCCTCCTTCTCTTCTAACTCTTATTCACATCTCAGATCAAATATTTCCTCAGGAAAACTGCTTCTGACTGTCTAGGACAAACCTGCTTAACATAGGTTCTTCTGACACCAGTGATTTCTCCTTAGTAGCACTTAATCACAATCACCATTTAAAATTTGTCTGTGTAAATACTTGAATGATAAGCATTTTCCTATGTCATTAAACAGTCTCTGAAAATATCACATAGTGGTTAGGAGCACAGGCGGACAGCTTAGATCTGAATCCCAGCTCTGTCACAATTCCTTATCTGAAAACTTATGATGCTAGTTGTGTTTTAAAATTCAGAATTTTCACTTTATTGGAAGATGACATGGTATAGACCCTGTATCATGTCTAGTGGGATCTGGGGCAGCACCTTGTAATCAAACACATTAACTTCTCTTTAGTAAAATGAATTCGCTCTAAGTAGGACAGAGATAATACATTGTTTCATTGTCAGTTTAGATCTCGTTTTGCAAATGAGTTTGCCACAGGTTTATGAAAACACTTGACTCTTGTTGGAGGCCTAGGTGGGAGGATTGCTTGAGGCTAAGAGTGTGATACCAGCTTGGGTAGCATAATAAGACCCATCTCTACAAAATTTTTTAAAAATTAGCTGGGCGTGGTGGTGTGCATCTATGGTCCCAGCTACTCAGAAGGCTGAGGTGGGAGGATCTCTTGAGCCCCAGAGCAAACCCCAGGCTGCAGTGAGCTATGATTGCACCACTGCAGTCCAGTCTGGGTGACAGAGTGAGACCCTGTCTCTGAAAAAAAGGAAAAAAAAAAAAAAAGAAAACACTGGATTTTCTGAGATTTTTGGGTTTTAGAATTTCAGATGAGGATGAGAATTTCAGATGTGATTCTGCTTTAGTGTAACCTTGAGCCAATCATTTAACTCCTCTGGCCTCAGATTCCTCAACTGTAAAATGGTGATGATACTAGCACCTGCCTATGTCACAGGCTCCATGTCATGCTGTTTTGAGAGTAAATGAGTTAGTACATGTTAACTGTGTAGAACAGGGAATGGTCCTTCGTCAGTACTATAAAAAGGTCAGTTCTCATATCATTTTTATTAGCTCAGTAATAACCCACACTATGGATGAAACATAATTTATTTGCAATTTACTTATTGTTGAATATTTAGACTTCAGGTACAAAATGTAATAATGGATGTCTTTACACTTAAATCTTTTTGCTACATTTTTGATTACTTCAGGTCAGTTCCTAGGCTGGGCATGGGGACGCATGCATGTAAAACCAGCACTTTTGGAGGCTGAGGTGGGAGGATCACTGAGGCCAGGAGTTTGAGACCAGTTTGGGCAACATAGCAAGACCCTATCTTTAAAAAAAATAAAAAAATTAGCCAGGTGTGGTGGCATGCACCTGTAGCCAGCCCCTAATGCTCAGGAGGCTGAAGTGGGAGGATCTCTTTGACCCAGGAATTCGAGGCTGCAGTGAACTTGCCACTGCATTCCAGCCTGGGCAATGGACTGAGACCTTGTCTCAAAAAAAAAAAAAAAAAATCAGTTCCCAAAAATGAAATTATAGGGAGGTCAAAGGGCAGGGACATTGTGAATGCTCTCAAAACATTGAAACATTACCATACTGTTTTTCAGAAAGATTATGCCAATTTACATTGCCACCGTCAGTTTTATGACACCCATATTAGCATTACTATTTTAAAAACTTTGCTAATTTCACAGATAAAAATGGCACCTCCTGGCTGGGCGTGGTAGCTCACACCTGTAATCCCAACACTCTGGGAGGCCGAGGTGGGCAGATCACGAGGTCAGGAGATGAAGACCATCCTGGCTAACACGGTGAAACCCCGTCTCTACTAAAAATACAAAAAATTAGCCGGGCGTGTTGCGGGCACCTGTAGTGCCAGCTGCTTGGGAGGCTGAGGCAGGAGAATGGCGTGAACCCGGGAGGCGGAGCTTGCAGTGAGCCGAGATCGCACCGCTGCACTCCAGCCTGGGTGACAGAGTGAGACTCCATCTCAAAAGAAAAAAAAAAAAAAAGTAAATAAATAAAAATAAAATAAAATGGCACCTCCTTATTTTAACTCACATCTGTCATTATTAATATGTTTTAAGTGTTAAGAAATCTTATTGTTAGCTATTGGCTATTTCTTTTTTGTGAATTGCCTACAAAAGCTTTTTGATGGTTTTTGTGTTAGAGTCTTAGTTTTTTCTTATCAATTGTTTAATTGTTTGATTTTTATCTTCCCCAGCCCAGGCAGGAGCCACTATTCTGGGCTTTGGCTGGAATTAGTTGGATAAATTATCCCTGGAGCGTGGGGCGAGTTGTTACTTACCTGTAGGCTATATGGCAAGGTAGAAAACTGTTTCAGAGGCTGTTTCTTGGGGGAAGAATCTGGAATCAAGACCGGGCTGATTGCTTGTTTATCTGAACTTTGAGTCAAACAGGACTTGGAAGAAAGAGAGCATCCAGGTAGGAGGCAAAAACCGAGACAGATAAGGAAAGGCAGAGTAATTTTCAAAGCTAGAGGAGAGAAGCTGCAATCTCTTTTTTTGCAGAGACATTGCAGTTTCCTGTATGGAGAATGAGGGAATGCTGGGGGCACTGTCTTGGCCACGCACTGAACCATGTGAACTCTTGATATAATGAGGATATTAACCCTTCGATGTGGGGCATTTTCCCCACAATTGCCTTTTCATTTATGATGGCTTATGATTTATAGAAATTAAAACAATTTTATGTTGTCTGCCTGTTAATCTTTTCCTTTATGATCCATTGCTTTTATTCTTAGAAAGTCCTTCCCATGAAGAGAACAGCTACCTATCTGCATTTTCTTTAAAAATGTTATTTTGTAATGTCAGCAAATCAAGAGGTAAAATAAGTACAAGAAAGCTGTGTAGTGTGTTGTCCAATAAAAAACCTAAAAGAGGATGATACAAAGGTGGGTACTTGTGTCTTCCTCATGTGTCCTTGAATCAAGGAGTAGAAAAGAGCTTATACTGCTTGCTGTAAGGGAGATTTAGGAAGGCTGTTTCTGACAGTTGTTTGAACTGATGGCTGTTTCAACCATTGACTTATCTGTCACACATTGTAGAAGTTTATCCTTAGAGACTTACAGAAGAAGTATCCTTCTGAAAGAGAAGATGTGTTCTCTGGAGCTATTTTCTACTTTTATTCATCTGATGATACTATGTAGTACTTCAAACACCTCT